TCCTAATTTCTATGACACTGCGAAAGATGGCAGATTATTTGCTCCTAACGATGCACTATGGAGCTTCAAAAACTTAAACGTAGAACTATAATTATATTCACAAATAAAATACTAAAAGACCCAAAACCAGGATCCGAACTGTGCTCTGTCATGCTGAAACAGACATCACTACCACTATGCTAGGAATCATCTACCACTGATACTCACTATCCAGTAGACAAAAATGGATTCTAAAAAATTGCCCATTTTTTCCCCTTACCGCTTCTTCAGTTTCCAAAACGTCTGGGATGACAGAATACTACTTCTCAGTGTACACTGTACAACATTGAAAACTCAAAACTAGACCCGAAATAAAATTATGAAGTAAAAGGCCAAAAGTTCCAGAGTAAAGGTCCGAATCCTGCTCTTGTATACGAAAACAGACGTCACCACCACCACGTTACGACAAACTTCCCGTTGGCATTCACTATCAAGATGACAAAAATAGATTTTGAAAATTACAAACTTTCTTTCCCCTTCCCCTATTCAGTTTCCAGAACAGCCGGGATGGCGTCTACAATTTCTCAGTGTACACTATGGGACTTCAAAAAGTCAAAGCTAGATCTATATTATAATTCAGAAACAAAATGCCAAAAGATTGACAAACAGGATGCGAACCCTGTTCTGCTTTGCTATAACAGACAGCATTACCATTTTGCTACGACGCACCTACATTCTGCACTCAGTATCAAGTACACAAAAATGGATTCTGAAAAAATTGCAAACCTTTTTCCATGTTCACTTTTTGAATTAGCAGAATAGCCAGGACGGCAGATTAGTACTTGTCAGTTTACACTATGGGACTTAGAAAAATCAGAACTAGACCTGTAATAAAATTCTAAAATTAAAAACAAGAATTTTCCAAGCCAGGATACGAACCCTACTCTGCCTTGCGAAAACAGACAGCATTACCACTACGCTATGACGCACCTAGATCCCAACCGGAGTGTCAAGTACACAAAAATAGATTCTGAAAAACTTACAAACTTTTACCCTCTTGGTCTTTTCAGTTTACAGGACAGCCGGGATGGCAGGTTAGTATCTCTCAGTGTTGACTATGCGACTTAAAAAACTCAAAACTAGACGTGAAATAAAATTCCGAAATAAAAGGTAAGAAATTCAAAAGTGAGGTTTCCAACCTTAACGTGCCATGTGAGAACGCAGAGTACTGCCACTATGACATGACGTATCTGCCTATACTCCTTTCCATAGAGTAGATAAAAGTGGATTCGGAAAAAACTGCTATTCTGCTTCTTCTCTGCCATCTGAATTACGCAACTTTTACGTAAAAATACGTTGAGCGAAGGATGAACATCTGATTATGAAAAAATGTTCAAATGAAAAAGGAGAATAACGGCAATTTGAAGCAAAAGGCGTTGCAAAATCATTTCAAGCCTGATTCCAAACTGAACGCAGGTTTGAATACTAAAACTATTAAATTTCATACAGCTGTCAAAAATTGCTCATTTCACATACAGATTTGCTGGTGGTGGAGAGTTTGCTTTCCCGGAAGGCCATCTGCATTTTTCGCGTCACACTATCGTTATACGATCACCATCGCTAAGATTTCCNTGACATTGTATTAAATACTTTGTCCTGATGTTGATAAACTAGGGCAATTCGTCATCAACTAAATGATCATTTTTGATGACTTCTTAAGGAAGACTAATTCACCATTTACTTCATCATACCCTGTAATTTTTTATGTTCTATACCCACTAATGCATTCCATCGACATTTTCGTTCGAATATCAGATTTCTGAATAGTTGAATTTGATCAATGTTTCTGAATAGTTGAATTTGATCAATGTAGAGGGGAGACAACGTCTGCGCATTCAAGACGGATCTCCTCTTGCGTCCAAATTCGCGCTTTTTCTGCCTTTCGTGTCCATCTCTAGAAAATAATTAAGTTCACTTCAACAAGCCTAAAAAAGTTTTACCAACCTGTCGTTCAACTGAATGATAATAATGCTATCCAATGAGTTTATCTTGAAGTGAACCTTTTGTTGTTTTCTCGATCTTCCGTTTCCTTCGAGCTATATCCAGTTTCTTCTGCTGGCTATGCTCTTCATCCTCCGTTTCTTTGGGATTACTATCTGATTTCCGCATCCAAATCGTCACTCGCAGACTCGCATTCACACCCGAACTCGATGCCTCCTGAGTCTTTGTCAACATCGATGATAAATTCATATTTGTTAACTTCATAAAACATAA